GTAGGAGGTGTAAATAGAGTCTTAAAGAGGTTGGGGATGTTACTCTTCCTTAAGGATTAAAAAAATGTGGGATGCAGCCAAGTCACCAAGTGTTAAGCATGAGGTGGCCTCTTCATGCTATATTTGACTTTCTCTTGTACTATATATATATATATATGAAATACCAAGAGGCAGGGGACGTGCTGAATACCCAAAGGATAAAGGAATTGGATGTTAAAATGACAATTAATCGAAGCATGATTTGTTCAAGCATGAGGTGGTCTTTTGCGGTAAAAATCTGATTTTGTACCAATCCTTATAGGTACAAATCAAGTGTCCTTGATGTGTTTACAATTCATTCAATTATTTACCCGATTGACACCTGATTCTCGATTGATTTCAACAATTCGCACCTCAATATTTATAACGTCATATGAGACATATATTATTATGTTGTGATCATGCCACTTTATGCCTCATGTCCCAAATATGTCAATTACCTATCTAGGGTTTAAGGGGGACCTTGATCAACCGAATGGAAAACTTGATCCTTTGTCGATACTAACTCCGGCCTTTTCGATATTCCTATTTCTTACCACACCAATTCTCAACATTTAGTTAACCTAATTTTCTATCATAGCTCAATGTAAAATTCATCATCTAGGTCGAGGAGTTGAAGACTATCACCACATTTAGATCTTAAAGCCTCGATAATTGAATGCATCATTTTAAGAGAAAGCAATTAAGAAATTGATGTAAATGACAACGTAATTAGCATGAAATGCATGAATCATATTGGCCAAATGTAAAACGTGAAGTTCAGGGGATTACATCCTCCTTTCTTTATAAAAATTTTGTCCTCGAAATTTGCTTACCAAAAAGTTCAGGATATTTAACCCGTATTTCATCTTCTCTTTTCCAAGTAGCCTCTTAGGTCGATTGATTCCGCCACAATACCTTAACTAATGGAATTTTCTTGCTTCTCAGTTGCTTTATCTCTCGTTGAAGGATCTCTACAGGTTTTTCTTCGTAAGTCAAGACTAGTTTTATCTCCATTGGTTCATTCTTCAATACATGAAATAGATTTCCAATGTATTTTCTTAGCATGGACACATGAAACACAAGGTGCACTTGAGACATTGATGTAGGAAGGTCAAGTTTGTAGGCAACATTTCCAATTCTCTCGGTAATAGTAAATGGACCAATATATTTTGGGCTTACTTTTCCATTCTTTCCAAACTGCATCACTAATTTCATTGGTGCTATCTTCAAAAATACTTGATCTCTCACAGTAAATTCTAACATTTTCCTTCTTTGGTCTACATAGCTTTTTTATTGATTTTGAGCAGTTTGCATCCGCTGACGTATTTGTGTCACAACTTCTGCCATTTTTCACGTACCATATTTGGACTCAATAGTTTCCTTTCTCCAACCTCATCCCAATAAACTGGAGATCTACATTTTCTATCATATAATGCTTCATAAGGATCCATTCCAATTATAGCCTGATAACTGTTGTTGTATGCAAATTCCACCAAAGGCAAAACTTTGCTCCATTGGCCTTGGAAATCTTATACACAAGCACTTAGCATGTCTTCCAATATTTGTATTATTCTTTTTGATTGTCCATCAGTCTGAGGATGATAAGCCATGCTAAAAGATAACTGCGTTCCCAAAGACTTATGTAAACTTTTCCAAAAGAGAGATAAGAGCTTAGAATCCCTGTCTGAAACAATAGATAGTAGCATTCCATAAAGTCTGACTATTTTTTGTACATAAAGCTAAGCATATTGGTCCATGGAATAAGTGGAACAAACTGGAACGAAATAAGCCGATTTGTTTAACCTATCCACAATAACCCAAATACTATTGTATCCTTTAGTCGTTTTTGGTAATTTCACCACAAAGTACATTGTGATTCTTTCCCATTTTTACTCTGGGATAGGTAATGGTTGTAAGGTTCTTGTTGACCTTTGATTTTCTGCTTTTATCTATTGACATGTTAAACATTGTCCAACATATTCGGCTATCCCACCTTTCATGTTCTGCCACCAATAATGCATCTTCAAATATCTATACATTTTAGTAGCTCCTGGGTGAACATAGTACGATGTTGTGTGAGCTTCACGTAAAATATTACCTCGAATATTTTCTGCATCAGGTACATATAATCGTCCTCTAAACTGCAAGATACCATTCTTCGATATCTGAAAGTTTGACACTTTTCCATCATGTATATCATTCTTTATCTTGGAACAATACTCATCTCCTTGTTGTCCATGCTAGATTCTATTTAATAAAGTTGGCTGAAGTGTCAATACTGCAAGTTTAACCACTACAAATCCTTACGGTATAATTTCAATATCTATTTTTTGCAAGTCTATAAATTCTGATCTTTGAGTCACAATCATATCTGTATACTAGATGCTGATTTTCTACTCAAAGTATCTGCTATAACATTGGCCTAACCAGGGTGATAATTGATCACACAATCATAATCTTTTACCAACTCTAGCGACCTTTGTTATCTCATATTCAATTCCTTTTATGTAAACAAATATTTCAAGCTTTTATGATCAGTATAAATCTCACACCGCTCTCCATACAAATAATGTCTCCATATTTTAAGGGTAAACACAATTGCGGCGAGTTCCAAGTCATGTGTAGGATAATTCTTTTCACACTATTTCAATTGTCTAGATGCATATGCAATAACTTTACCATTTTACATTAGTACACATCCTAAACCATTCTTAGAAACATCACTATAAACTACGAAGCTTCCAGTACTAGATAGGATTAAAAGGATAGGGACTGAAGTCAATAATTTCTTCAATTCTTGAAAACTTTACTGACAAGC